TTGATATCCACGACGTAGCGATGCTGTTCACTCAAGAATTTGAAAGCAATCCGCAGCTTCTGCACGTCCGCCTGTCTTGACCTCTATGGTCATCCGTCTTGAATATGTTTCCTTCTCCTTCGAGCAGTTGCGTTTGTTTCTCGTGAATCAAAAGCAGCCTTGGCCGCGTGAGAGAACTGTGAGGTCGCCAAGAATCGAGACTCATACTCGCTGACTATGCAAGCCAGCAGCTGTGTCTCGCCATGCTCAAGATCGACAGACATGAGTCACGCAATCAGCCTCAGTCAATAAGAGCTCGACTTGCCGGCATTATTCGTGATTTGTCACATTTCACTGCGCCAAATTTCACCAAGGTGGCCTGCCTGGATCGCCAGACGCGCCAATCACAGCAAGGTATGTGTCGCGAGGACAAATCCGAACTCACCAGGACGACGATCCTCGACCACAAGTGGTGCCGAATTGGTCTGTGCGGATGCATACTCACCGAGGGTTCGCAAAGTTTGGCAGCATGAACGGTCGGCTGCCCGAGAAGCGTGAGTCATATTGCTCTTCCTGTGCTCCTCTCTGCCTGCTGATCGCGTACGTACAGATGTCGTCGTGAGTCACGAGTCAATGCGGGAGTGGTCTTGGTGCAGTGCGTCTCGGCATTGCGCGGCCGAAGTTCCGAATGTTGCGTCACGTGACTCGCGCACCTCACAACCCCTGCATCCGGGTACATCGAGTCAAGAGTCGCAGGAGGCGACTGTCTACATCAAAAAGGACTCGGAGGTGAATTGTGCGCGGAGGGTGGCACAGGTATGCTCCCTACTGAATCAGCCCAGGGTGTCCACAACCCTCCAACACCAATCATAGACACAAAGCGCATCGCTCTGGCCATTCGATCAAATCTCTAAGCTTTTGAAAGGACCCCTCGTGGCGCAGCTCCCAACACACGTCGCATACTCTGCACCACCAAAGCAGATGTCCACGATGGCCACATTGAAGGACTTCCACGTTGATCATCAAGTAGAACACGTCTATCACAATGGCAAGTCAATGTCCGGTGCTCCGGGCAGCGGGCTCTTTCTGGCGGGACTGGATCGGCTGGGCAACAAATAATTCTTGCCCTTTGGAGTTTGCCTCCGCGGGGTGCTTCAGAAAGTATCCATTGATCTAGCCGGCTCGTCTTCAGGGCGAAGCGTCCCTCGAGGGTAGGGATGGTCTGTCTCATTCCCCATTCTTCCTCTTTCGCTGTCGCTTGTCCTGCGTCTTGGAGTGCGCGGAGCTCCTCTTCTTCTTTGCACAGCCTTCGGTCGCATCCGTCTCCGTTGATACGGCTCTCGGGCAGCTTACACTCGCATTGCAGGACCGCTTCTTGAGCTGCAAAGCACACCTGTGGCCAAGTCCATCCACGACAAGATAGTAGTCATCCTCCAGCAACTTCTCGCGTACGTCCGTGCTGATCGAGCAAAGGCATTCAAGTATATCCTCCAGATCGTCAGACATCTCGCCGAGCATGTCCGCAATCCTGCCGTGCGTGAAGGAGATTCCCAAGCTGCTGTCTCTGCGCTTGATGGCGGAGACTACGTCCTTCAACTCGCTCTTCATCGGCCTTGGCGAGCATACTGCTCGCAGCGCGCTCCTCAGCTTGGCTTGCATCCGCCTGCGAACGGAAACGCCGTCTGGAGAATAAGATGGCGAAAGACATGCGGCATCAGTGGCAGTCAAAAATCACGGACGACGTCTTTTGCAGCGAAAGTGGCGCCTACCTTGGTTCTGGATCCAATTGAAGACCTCGTCCCACGGTGAAGTATCGGCCATGAAGCTGACAAATGGCGCAGAGACGTGCTCGTGCATAGCGAAATGCAGG